CCGATACCGATAACCGATTCTTCTTTATTTTTGAAAGCCGATAACCGATATGTTGGCCGATAACTCTATATCCAAATTGTTATATACTTTTTGAGAGCCTGATTACAAAAAAGGTCTCATCATTAAAAGCCACATCCCAAACACTTCAACATAAGCAGCCTAGTTTGAACGGTGTACGTTTTAAAAATATTTTTACTCTCCCATTACCAAATTTAGTCATAAAAAAGTCTTACAAATAAATAAAATAATGCATAAATAATGCAAACAAGTCACTGGACATCATTACACGTGTAAAGAATCAAAATGAATGCGCCATAGATCAATAAAACGGAATAGCCTCTGCACGGACAATAATTAAATGATTTTAATTACTAAACCATATTGTTGATGAAAATAATAAGAGAACAATACAAGTGGTTGTTGTTATTAATAATATATCAATGATTTTGAAAAAGTAACAAATTAATACCACTGTTTTAAATAGCAGCCGTTGAGCTGCGCGTGCTGAAGCTGAAGAGCTGAATGAACACGGTAACCTGAAGCGTTTTGCTGGCAGCTTATTTAACGGAAATGCATCCTGAGATTAATATTAATACCACATAAACATAATATTACAACTTATATATGTACAAAATGACGCAGTTATTGCATGCTATAGTCAGAATGTGTGATCCTGTTGTGGATGCGCTCTTCCCATAACAACGCGCTGAAACACGGCAACTAAACCCAAAGAATTCACAACGTTTTATTATAATAATGTTCTCATTAGAATGTTATATACACAACATTCCCAATCATAGTTATTAATGTTGTGCACTGCTGTTTGAGCTGCGTGCGCTGAGCTAAAGATGATCACCGGTAAACTGAAGCGCTCTTTTAACTTAACCAAACGCATTCTATGAGATAAATCAGATATACATCAAATAAACACAATATTATAACGTACAATTGCACAAAAGGCTGCAAACGAACAGCGCGCATCTGAAGTGTCTCTGAAGGAAATAATGCATTATTTATCGGCTTTAAGATATCGGCCAAATTTTCTTATCAGGCCGATACCGATAACAGAAAAAATGAGCCGATATGGGCCGATACCGATATGGTGGCCGATATATCGTGCATCCCTAATTTTAATAAATAAAATTGTAAACAACTGCAATTTGTAAACAAATGCCAACAATAACTCGGACAAAGGTGCAGAAAAAAACACATTTATCAGTAGAGCTAGATTAAGAAACCGATACAGATAGTCGATGAAAGATCGATGCTCAAACAAAATATCGGTCAGACCAAATGTTGGTCAATATAAGTTATTTATACAGTGCAGTCCATTGGCATTTTTTGTGCGAGTAAATCTATAACGAGTTCTATCGCACTCTTCATCTTCAAAAACGTGACTATATTTGGTTAATCCCCACTAACTAGTAGGCTAATTAGTGTAATATTTTACAGAGCCAAACATTTCAAATACAACGATGAGATCAAACACTTGCAGTCTAGCATTAATGTGATTAACACAACACCCACATTTTGCATTTTGGCGCAAATGACTGCATAAAAAGTAACGTTGCGCATTAAATTTGCACTAGGGATGTAAGGATTACCGGTTTGACGATAAATCATGATAAAAATCCCGACGGTTAGTATTACCGTTTCATATTTTAATTATCATTAAAGTCGTATTAGATTACCGCGATTTGAACAACTCACGATAAATAAATACTGTCCTGCATAAAGCACAGTTTTCAGTAACAGTCTCGCGTGCGCACAGCACACAGAGTAGTTTCGTTTTGAGTGAAAATAGGGCGGAAAAGCTGGGAGGTTTTAAAAGAGTGCTAAGGGAATTATACAAATGAATATATGAATTAATTATATGAATGTACCTCTGAAGGTTCTGAAGTCTTCAGAAACGATTCGATGGCATTTTGGTTTCATCTTCGCTCCATGTAATACCTAAAGGAAGTGTTTTAATCGCAATACTGCTTTGTCCACGGAGTTTACGGGAAACAGCTGTAATTCTGCTTTTCCATGAGCGCCACCTGCTGTCAGCGAGTGGATTTACAGAGACTTATATTAACATTCAGCCTGTGTGCAGTTTCTGTCCGGCCAAAAACAAACGGAATTTGCATGCCCTGCTGTTAATTTTGACCGGTTGATTAAAAATAAGCTTATGTGGATTCTACACATTTAAACCGTTCAGATAAGGTATCTAGAATTATTTATGGCGCAGATCAAATACATATAATCAGTTATTAATCAATTATCATTTTGTCTTAACTCCTTTCTTTATTTAAAGGCTGAAATGTGAGGTTTACCGTTTTATTGAAACGTCTTCAAAGCTTTATTTGAACATTAGATATTTGAACATGCTATTAAACTGTTGCCCAGTCAAGGTGTCATTTAAAATCCGAACATCCTTGGTTATGTTATTGTTTTAGTGATTATGCAAACAAAAAAAGTCATTTTATTTGTTGATTTTTAAATATAAAACTTGAAGTGATTTATGTGTTGGTACATTTTTGAACACCTCCAGCACATTTGAACAATACCGTGATAATACTGATAACCGTGATAATTTTGGTCACTATAATCGTGATAAGAAATTTTCATACCGTTACATCCCTAATTTGCACGTTTGGTAAATTACTAACGTTACACCGAATTTATGTCAATAAGCCATATTGTTGGCAGCGCCAATGGCTAATCTTAAATCCCTAGATCAGAGAGTCTGTAGCGGAGTGTATTCGCTTTAATAAGCACGTTAACAAACCTGGCAACCAATTTAAACAATGAACGCAAAAGAAAAATGAAATTGTTGCGTTCGCGCTCCATTTTGACGTTGGCCAGTCAGCTAAACAACGGTCGTACATACGCCATAAAGCAAAAACAAACAAGTATTATCTGAATATTAAACCCATTAGAGTCCTACTGAACAGAAGCCCACATGTAAAGACTGGAAACCACGATGACTTACAGCAATAGCTGCTAGCCAGCTTCAGATGAAACTCTACGATGTCGCACATTCCTTACCTGTTAAACGCAACTTAACGGGTCCATTTCTTCTAACTCCTTGATTAGACATGTCCTTGACCCTTATCCCGGCTGATTATTACAGAAAATGAGTTGAACGTGCTGTAGAGTTGCTCTCTGGTTGCCCTCAGCGCCAGTTTCACAGTGAACAGAAAATAATGGAGTCACGGTCCTGTGGCCCGGATGTGCACAGCCCTGCCATGTCTACATACATACACCCGCGCCGCGGCTTTTAACGCGCTCCTCGTATTTCTACCAAATCCACGACGTGCCCTCAAAAGATCCGCTTACAAAGACCTCCTGAAGCCCTTCGCATTTCCCACGAACGAGCCGCGCTCGGGTTCTGCCGCCATTGCAAGGAGACCTCGAGGGAAAGTAGTATCGCTTCAGGCGACCGAATTGAGGAAATGTGGTTTGGAAGGTGTCTGGCATCTGCTGAGCCACTAAAACCACCCAAACAGTGACTTCACACCCACTTCTTATTCATAGCACTGTGATCCTCACTTTAGCTTTATATATATATATATGCAGTGTTGGGGGTAATATATTACAAGTAACGCGAGTTAGGAAAGCAGATTACTTTTTTCAAGTAACTAGTAAAGTAACGCATTACTTTTTAATTTAGAAAGAGAATATCTGAGTTACCTTTTTCCCCCAATTTATTGAATAACAGCTCTCCTGTCCCCATGTTGAGAGAAATCAAATGTTACTGTACTTCAAAATATGAATACGCATCAATTCATCTCACTCACACAAAAAAAATTCAATATTCCTCAAAATAATGCAATTCAGAATATGACGCAAACCTGCAATAATATATCACAAACACAAATATGTATTTAATCCCATTCTATTAACCAATGTCTTTGCTTCTGACCGTCGATGATCCAGTTCAACCGTACTAATAAGCACAAATTACTCTAGACAAACATTTGTGTCTTTGTTTATTGCTGAAGTGTGTTGAAATGTATTCTTCTGCATTCTACTGTACGGACGTAAATTTACTTTCCCTTCAGCCTGAGGCTTATTCACTTCACTTTTGGTGTGAAAAGGCTTTTATATATAACTTTTTTTTATTTTAAAATCAAACAAGCAAGCCCTGTCCAGATTTAAAAAGTAACATTACTTCCCATAAAAAGTAATGTAATTACTTACTTTTTCATGGAGTAACACAATATTGTAATGCATTACTTTTAAAAGTAACTTTCCCCAACACTGTATATATGGCTACTAATTTTTCCACTTTATTTAGACTTAAAGTCTTGGAGAACGAAGATACACACGAATGAAAAACCACTTGTTCTTTTCCATTTTTATTTACAACAAATAAAATTGAAACAGATTTGTATGTACAAGTCAGAACATGAGGTCCTCACAAAGACAAACATGAACAAGACAAGCGGTTGGCAGAAATGTTCAGAACAATCATACAAAAATACCACGGTTTAGATATTTAGAAGTTGAAAGTGCTTGGGTTTTCATTGATTTGGAACGCATAGCCATCGGTTGTCTCTTCGGGGGCAACGCATTCGTCCTCTTCCTCCTGAAAAACAGAAATAAAAGCAGCAATTTAGGAAAAGCGGGCTTTCTAAGAAGTATAAGAAACAAAATGCACAAGGACAGCTAGTCAAACCACTTTCGAGAAGCTGAGAGACTAGTTGAGACAAATATAACGCAGTCAATTAACATGCAAATTGCTAAAACCTACACAATGCATAGTATATTGTCCACAGATGTGTTTGTCACATTCTTTGCACTTGGCTAATGAAGAGATTCTGATAATGCATGACTATAGATTTAACGTTCAACTGACCTCTCCAGAGAAGTACTTTTCAATGAGGTTGAGGGAGGCCTTGTAGACCATTTCATTTTCGTGGGACTGCAAAGCTTCTATTTTGTCCAGGCCGCCACATTCCTCAATCATCAGGGCCAGCTTTTCGACCTCACCAATCTTTTCACCAGCCTAAAATAAAACATAAAATCCCATATTTAAAGTTATGGATCTACTGTCATGTACATCCAAGTGAAACATTATCGGGAAAAAGAAATAAAATAAGTGGGTTCTATGCATCGGTTGTTGAGACTTGGGTTAATTCATCTGTGCATGTCTCAAGATATATAACATGCATTCAGAAAATAGATTGTGTGACTTCTTATTTCATGTCAACAGAAATCATACCAAAAAGATATTGGTGATTGCATCCAAGATGACAAGAATAGTTTTGCTGTCCTTAGTGGAGAGCAGGTTCAACAAGGGTTCTAGTACGTTGGCCTGAACAAGGTAAACCACTTGATCTACTGTGCCTCCACTGGTGTAGTTGGTCACTGCCCAAACAGCCTCCTTCTGGGTCTTGTAGTCACCCTGCACAAGTATGAGAGAAAAATGAGTTCAAAATAAATCATGGACACAGCTTCACGGACAAGTGTTCTACCGTGTTCTTGTGGCAACGCACCCGTCTGAGAACTTCCACCAGGTAAGGCACAATGCCAGCATTGATGACCTCCTGAATCTGATAGTCCCTGCCAGCCGTGATGTTGGACAGGGTCCAGGACGCCTCCTTTTGAATGTTGTTTTTATGGCGGCGCAGCAGAGCTGGGAACATGGAAAGAGCGCCAGCGTTGAGCACCACCTGGGTCTGTTCATCTGTACCAGTGACGATGTTACCAATGGAACGCAGTGAAGGGGTCTACAGGAAGAAAAATAATAGATAATAGAATTTAAAAAAAATAATAGAGCATATCAATACTTTAAACCAGGGGTGCCCAAACTCGGTCCTGGAGGGCCGGTGTCCTGCAGAGTTTAGCTCCAACTTGCCTCAACACACCTGCCGGGAAGTTTCTAGTATGCCTAGCAAGAGCTTGATTAGCTGGTTCAGATGAGTTTGATTAGGGTTGGAGCTAAACTCTTCAGGACCGAGTTTGGGCACCCCTGCTTTAAACTAACTTACCACAATGGAGAGCTCCCCTGATCCCAGCAGCTGCACCAGTCGAGGAACCACACCAATTTCCACCACAACCTCGATCCTTTCATTGGGCCCATCGGTCAGGTATGAGATGGCCCAGCAGGTGTCCGCTAGCACCTCCTTATCTTCATGATGCAGAAGGCGGAGAAGTGTTGGCAGCATCTGTTTCACGGCATCCAGAGGAGGTGCAGGGTTCTTATTGCGGCACAGGTTTGACAGGGTCCAGGTGACGTTTCTCAGGTAACCAGACTGCAGAAGAAGAAAGACCAGTCAGGACAAATTACTGAAGCTTTGAGGCCACCTACTGGTAAAGTATGCCCACTACAATTTAAATAGTGGTTTAAAACCAATAGTGATGAACCCCAAAATATAATGGGAGAAAAAAAAAAGTAACATTTACATTTATTAAATATTACAATTGTCATGAGACATCAGTCAAGTCAAGCCATGACATACAATCTGTAAAAGCAGTGTTCTCCATTTTTTGTACACGCATACATACACACATATACATAAAAATTAAGAATCAATAAAACCATACAGTTAATACATTTTATTTTATCAGTTTATTTAAAAGTAAACGGATTTATTTGATCTAATTTAATAAAATAAATAGAATTAATCAAACTTTAATTTAAATTATATTTGAATAGATTGTTTTTATTCCATAATAAATTAAAAATACTTTAATGATTTATTTTTAATCTCATGAATAAATTTAATTAAATATAATATTCACTTTTGAAAAAGATTAATATTAATATTTGTAACAAATATCTATTTTTAAAATAAACATCTAAAATGTAATTTAATAAAAATAAACCTAATATTTCATCATTCAATATTAATAAACACTTCAATAAAAATAATTTTAAATGTAAAAATAAATATTATTAAAACAATAATAATAATAATCTTACAGGAAATACTGAGAAATCAGGAACAGCCAGCAGAGCTAAGAGGGGGGCAACCGCACCATGTTTAATGACTTGATCTCTGTATGCAGAGCCATCACCTACAAAGACGAAAGAGCAAAAATAAATTCATACAACCAAGTTAACAAAAATCCCTACATCTCATTGAGCAGAAATGCTACTGGCCACCCACCAGCAATGTTTCCAAGGGCCCAGATAGCCTGCTCGCTAATATGAGCGTGCGGTGAAGAGATGAGGCTGATGAACGCTGGAACAGCCCCTCCCTCAACCACAGCACTGGTCTGGTCAGATGTCCCAGATGCAATGTTAGTCAGAGCCCAGGCTGCCTCAAACTGTATGGGAGGAGACTCGGTTAAGCTCAGGAAGCTCACGAACTTGGAAATCAGACCAGCGCTGATGATACGGTCAATAGGTGGATGCCTCTCTCTTGACAGCAACTTCCTGTATTTCAATTGGACAAATCATAACATGTAAAACAGTTGAAATGAATGCATCTCTTTGCATGCAAATGCCATCTTTTAAGCATTACCTGGCAGCTTGGGTGGCCTGGACCTGAGTCTCCAAGTTATTACTGTTCACACCATTTACAATCTCCTCCACCGTCCAGTGCAGAGCCTGATAAAACACAATCATATCTTATGACTTGTAATACCTAAACAGCATGTATACATTCATCAATAACGAATGATTACGTGCATTAAAGGGGTAATATGATGCGATTTCAAGTTTTCCTTTCTCTTTGGAGTGTTACAAGCTGATTGTGCATAGATAAGATCCCTGAAGTTGCAAAGACTAAAGTCCCAAAGAGATATTCTTTATCAAAGTTAAGACTCTGCCACGCCCCCCTATAACAGCTCATTCTAACACGCCCCCACATATCTACCTCACTATGTGGGAATATTTGCACAATGCCGCCCAAATGTTCACGCAAAGAAGGCGTAGTTTCAGAAACCGCAGTTAGTGTTGAAGCAGCCATGTCAGGGAGACGCTGTGTGTTTCTAGGCGAAAGCAAAAGCACTTTATTTGGCTTTCCGAAAGTAGATGCATTTAGGAATCTTTAAGATTACTTACAACAGAACAGCAATGCATTTTATGGACGACCGTTTCGTGAACCTAGGAGAGGAGGTCATTCTGACTTTGCTATGACAATCTGGCGCTTCTGAATCAGCTACTGTTTTGTTATTAGTTTAAGTATTTGCTATTGACTGTTCAAATGCGGAGTTTTGCGCATCGTGTGCACGAGCGCGCGAGAGAGAGAGCGAGCGAAAGACATCACAGTGGAGTCATCTGTCTTAAGGGGCAGTCACACTAGACTTTGATCGTGCAAATTTTTTTCGGACGCCGCTGCGATATGGGCGGGAGCAGGTTATGACATCATGCGCCAAGGTTATCACAACATGGATTCAGATGTGCTTGTACCGTCTTTTGTGACGGCGCCGACTCGGAATGAGTTCCATTCTTTAATTCAGGAGCATCGGCTGGATGAGGATCGCCACAAGGAGTACTTTCGGCTCTGTCATATTTTATTACCTTTTTTTTAACTATAGTGAATAAACTATTAATGAATGAAATGTTCAAGGTGTCTGAATAAATTTTGGTTTGACTGTACATATATAAAATACATTAAGTGCTGTAGGTTTTTCCCTTTAAATAGGTCATTTTATACATTCTTGAGGTGTGCAACATTTTTATTCTGAAAATATAAAATAACGAACAACATTAAGTAATTTAATACACTTGTGTATAGTAATTATATTGTACACACACACACATACATATACATACACACTTTTAAAGATGTATTATATAAAATAGGACGCTGCGCTACAGCTAAAATTAGCGCTTCCTCCATTTTTGAAGTTCTGTACAGAGGTCACGCAGTGACGTATCGATCTTCTACTGGTCACACGTCTTCACGTGATGCGAATTCGCAGGTCAGAGTTCACCACACCTGAACTTTGGAACGCAGCAAAACGCGAAATTTTTCACATGCGTATGAATGGAAGTCAATGGAACGAAAAGTGCAGTGTGACCGCCCCTTTAACCGTGGCTTGTGTACTGCAAACACATACCAGCTTCATCACTGTGTCTGTCACGCGACTCTGTCCCCCTTTCGGGCTCTGTCTTTACATCTATTTTGAAAGATGAAGCTGCGATTATGGTAAGGGGGCGTTACATTTCCGACGAGTGCTTGCGGTGTTCGGCCAATCACAATGCACTGGGTCAGCTGGCCAATCAGAGCAGACTGCGCTTGTCGGAAGGAGGGACTTTGTAGAAAACGAAGCGTTTGAGAGAGGCGGGGCATAGAGGACCTACAATAATGTACAGTATTTGAAAAAGAATGTGTTTTTTGAACATTAAAGCATGTCAACATATTCTGTTACACCAAATAATGATCTTTTAAAAAAGCATCACATGACCCCTTTAATATGGATCATCTACATACCTGACCGTTCTGGCTTTTCTCTTGAAGAGGAGAGGTGGCCTCGTCCGGTAGACTGCTCACGTTTCTCCTTTTCAAAATCTGCTCGTCTTTCTTTGCTTTGCGAAGTTCAACATTGACTTCGACCCTGCGACGTCTCAGCTCCTACATTATTAAAGCATTGGACATCTTTTACGAGCGGAACTGCGGCACATTTGAAAGAAAACAATCGATACCAGCACTTTTTGTTGTATCGTTTGGCAAAACTGCTTACGGTTGCGTCTCTTCCTTTGTTTTTGAACTGAGTGAGTCGTGGACTGTTCTCATTGGCGGCAGACATTTTGATGAGGTTTGATTAATCCCAGTATATCGCAACCTGAAACAGAGAAACGCGTTCGTGAACATATCAACCTCGTTGTAGCACTCAGTTCTGAAATTAGAAACGCATACTTAAGAATAAACGATATTATAACGCTACTGAGGAGGAACTTACCTTTCTTCCCAACCAAAGGAGTGTGGCGGCGGAAGTCTGAAACAGACCTTTAAATTCGCGCTATGAAGAATCTCATTGGTCCGTTCGAGCAAAAGCATTTTCCTATTGGACCGTTTTGAAAAATCACACTGCTGGCGAGGGGACGAAGCTTACGACGTATTAACGCGAGATTTGGCGAGAATGCCAAACAAGATTTCTGGCAATTAATTTCAAGATTTTATCCTTTAAAAAGAAACGAGCTTGTTATTGTGTAAACACTAAATTATATCTAAATGTGTATATTTAGTATATAATTAAACACACATTCATATTTGACATTTTTTATTAGATCGTTTTATTAATTTGATCATCTGAATTAACGATCTCTATAAATATTTATGACGGTTGCTTACAAAAACCTGATTATTGAAAATGTTTTCAGTTGACTCTGGAGAAGTGGTTTCAAATAGTTGTTGGTGGTTTTTACCCACAATCATGACATTAAACAATACTGCAGTGTGTATAAATGTAAAGGCTATTAAATGATGTGCTGTTATGATTATTAAATATACCGTTTCTGTTTAAATCAATTTCATCATAAATAAATCTACTGAAAGCACTTTGGTTACAAGGCATGTATGTGTGACAAGGGGGCGGGGCGAAACCGCTCAAAGTTGAATTCTGATTGGTCAGCGACGACCACGCTTGGCTTTCTCAAATTTGAAATATATAGAGCCTTTAACACCACGTGTTACAGTATACAGAACGCATTTATGCATTGTGTGCTGAAAAAAACAAGGATTTAGTATTTCTGTAAATTAAATAATCCTTCTTGTTGGCGTAATAATCATATTTCTAATAGGCAATTATTTGTTTGATAGTGAAAGCAACTCAGAAACCGGTTAACGGTAACACACAACTTGCCAGTTGTTAGTGAAACTTTTAATTCATTAAAGCAATTCATTAATCTACGATTTGAAGATCACACGTGTATAAGCGTAGGATTGTAGGCTTGAAACAAATGATCCCAAAATATACAAACAAAGTCTTTATAGAAGTATCCCAATTCTATTCAGATCAGAGATGGGAACAAAACATGGTTATTGCCATACAAATTCTGCAAGATGGGAAAAGTGCACTTCAAAATATAACACAAAAACGTTTACTGTAATAAGTATATCCTTAACTATGAACATGAGGAAAATATGTGGTTCATTTTGTGCCTTTTAACACAAACAAATCTAGACAAAACATTAAGAATTGTGTTAGATCATTTATGTATCTACAAGTACACCATCTTAAAAAGAAATCCAATGATTTAAAAAAAAAATCTGAACTGCCAGATGGTTTAGGGGTCTAATAATTTTCAAATGAAGAGAATATAGAGACATCTTAATCAATGTAGAAGAGAGAATCCTGTCCCCTCCATTTATTTGTTTCATATACATCAATATTTCTTCAGTTGTAATACAAAAAAAAAAAAGAAAGAAAGACAAGTTATACAAACAGGATACCTTCTTGACTAGTACTTTCATCAGTCCTCAATGCATTTTTAGAGCAACACTTTCTTAGTTTAAGTAACTTGATCAACCCCATTGCTTAAAAACCAATTAGCAGATTGCGTCCACATTCCACTTCTGTAGTAGTATGCTGAATCATATAAAGGGGGGGAAAAAAACAACTGGTGCACCATGATAGACTCCTGCTGTCCTGGAAAATGCGAACATGATTCCGGAGGGGTTTTAAAAACTCACAAATACATTTTTTGTAGGGATTTAATCCTCAAAGAAATCCAATAGGAGAGCATCCCAGTCTAAACTCACTGCTTTAACAACCAAACATGTAAACCGTCCATTCTTGATCCGAACCCACAGCATTTATGTCCGATATTCCACCAAACGCTGTGGCTATGTGCGGTGCTGGCTGACTGGGACAGAGTTCCATCTTGAATGAAATGTTCAGAGTTTATTTAGAACAGCATGTGGTTGTATTCTATGAGGCTGATGACTGTAGTTTGTTGTTATGAGACCTAGAGAATACAGAGAGAATGAGGTTAAAAGCCCTTTGGTTTTATTGAACATTCACAAATAAAGGTGGAAAATCAAGTCTACAGCACAGAGAAAAATAGCCTCGGGGTTAAAGGAATGGCAGCCATGTTGGCATAATACAACGGGAATGCCTTCAGTCATTTAAATTGGTGCTGGTTTCAACCTAAATTTAGAAGAAATGAAAAACAAACAAAAAGCAATTTCAACCTTTTTTTAAAGCATGGTCCTTTATTTCAACATTGAAATCCCAATAAAAGGATTTAAAACTCTTTATTTTGCTTCATATTCACGCAAACCGAAAGTGCGCAGATTCTGCGCAAGTTATAAAGTTGCACAAATTTTCAGCAAATTCTCAATGTCTCAATGAACACTCGGACAGATCAGCGAACCAGCTGAAACAAACATGTCGTTAAGCACATTACAAAGAAATTAACTGAACAGAAAAGTCTTAAAATGCCTTTAATCAGCCAATCCATGTGATAAATATGATCATGCATCCATGTAAACATCATAAATAACATCATGTGATCAGCAAACGTAATGGGTAAAAAAAACAAAAAAAAAAACAGGATCAGCATTTCCCTTGATTTCTGTGTGTTCATAGTGCTTCAACATGGCTGCCGATTGTCAAAGGCTTCACTGGAGTTCTGGCTTTTATTGACAGGTTCTCCAAACGGTTTTACTCATTTGACTTAAATGTACATCAGCTTCCACTGTTAATAAAACAGCAAGTTCCATGATTCTCTAATACAGAATGACTCCGCCCCTTCAGCCACTATGACTTATGATAATCTGCAAGAAAGGATAATGGATTGAATGAATGGCATGCATGAACCACAAACACAAACGGTTATGTTATCAGCATACAGTCAATGAAATAAGGACAGGAATAAGAGGATGAAATGCCAGCCAGAGAAGTGGAAGGTTAGTTTACCACTAAATTGCCTCTGAATTAAAAAATATATTTAAAGCAGAAACATTCATGAAGTCATGAAGACAAGCAGATACAAAACAAAACTGGATAAGCCAATGCAATGGAAAAGACTGATGAAAATTGTGAAATCAACACAAGAGCAAACTAAACCGTACAATGCAGTAGGGCTGGGTTTTGACACAAATTTCACGATTCAATTCTTATTCACAAGCTTGTGATTCGATTCAATATGGATTATTTTGGATATACATCAGGTACAGTACATGACTAAATTTGCTCAAGGAAAAATAATCTCTTAACTAATGCTGTAAAACATACACGAGTCACTTGGTAATACATTATTATAATATTGAAGGTTAAAACTGACAGATTTGTTTGCTTAAATTACACTTAATGAAGTTTTTATAATAAAATAAGTTACAATTACATAATAATATTTCTACTTCAATTCATTGAAGAACATTAAAAGTTATAATGAATATATTATCTGGTGCATATATTTAGCAAAATGCTCCTCTCTACAGTAAATTTTTCTAGCTGACTAATGAGTTTATGGTCACCGAATATGTTTTTTCTGAGGTAAATGTGATGTTACGCAATATTGTGTACAAGACTTTATATTGACGTCTTTGCGCGGCTGAAAAACTGATTGAGTGATTACATGAGACAGGATACGGATTGTAAAGTTGTACTCTTTCTTTTAACTTACCTTCGGATGTTTAGTCATGTTTATTTTTGTGCTGAAACTGGTATTAATATGGAGGAGATGATCAGTTCACGTGCGCCTCGCGCTGCCGCTTTTATTGAACCGAGGCGCGCTGCGCTACAGCGATCACTCCAGTCCACATTAAACAGCGCCAAAACGGCATTCATGAACATAATTTGAAATCTGAGACTTTGTTTCATATTAAAAGTACCAAAGCACAATGCTTATTGCGATTTATTGTATGGAAGGTGCCCTTCAATGTTCCATCCATTAACTGAAAACAGGCCAGACTAATCGATTCTTGGGATTTAAGAATCGATATCGTTTCGTAAAAATGAGAATCAATTATAATCGAGATATCGATATTTTTTACCCAGCCCTTCAATGCAGTGACAAATTTAGTACAAAAAAACTAATACTACGGCCAAAAAATTAATTTAAAAAACCTTACCTGTGGTAAACCCACTGTTACAGCTTTTTATGTAAACCGATATATCGGTTTGACCATTTTTTAAATCGATATTTACGATTTTCAAACTATTTGGTTAACAGTAATTTTAATATTCCACAGAAACATATTTAATGTATTTTTTCAAATATGTAGCTTAACATTTAAAATAAATATGAATGTGAATGAATATTTTTAAATAATTTAGAAAAAGAAAAGGAAAAACTAAAATCAGTTAAGCATATCGGTTACGAGAAACATAATCTGTATCCGTTTTGGTCTTAAATTGATTTCGGTTCGTAACAACATGACGGTAAGTGAATGACAGAATTTTTATTTTTGGGTGAACTAATCCTTAAATGTCCTAAAAAGCATCCTATGCTGCTAAATTATGTGTCTGTGAGCAGACGTTACCTGCTTGCTTTGAAAGCTTTGAGTTTCTGTACAAAGAAAGACTCCAGGAACTCAGCACACTGGTAAAAAGGCGAGTCGCTGGGATTGTAGTAGCGGCAGTTGTCAAAGATTTTGGTCACGTCCGCTACGAACTCTGTGAGTTTGCTGTAAAAGCGCTTCTGGATCCTCTCCTCCATTGTAGAAAGGTCTGCAGATAACAGACACACAAGGGAAGCAGAAAATAATGAAAATCATTACTAAAACACACAAAATGCTAATTCTTCAGTGTTACTTCTAAATCATTTATGAAAAAAAATATATAAAATAGTATGTTAATAGTTTAAGAATGACCTTAAAACTTAAACAGAAATGTACATATAACCAAAGAGAATATTATACAAGTCACAAAATAATTCTGGTCATACAAAAGAGAAGAAGAACTCTTACCCATTGGTTCCTTGATGATCCCATAATAATCTGGAGCATCATTTGGATCCACTGGTTCCAGGAATGGCCACGCCATCTTATGGGACTAACATACATATAAAATGATTATAAGATTAGAGCCTTTCGCACCGCTTTAGTTCCAGAACTAATGGCGCTTTTCCACTGCGTGGTACGACTCTGCTCGGTACGGCTCAGTACGGTACGACACGGCACGGCTCGGCTCGGTTTGCGTTTCCACTGCAGTTTAGTATCGCTTTAGAATGGGCGGGATTATTCACATGTCGTTATAGTTGAGGCGCCTTTACTGCCGCGACTTCTAAAAAACGTTTTCATTCCGCGTCGCCCCATCAAGCTCTCGCTGGATCCGCTCCTCTGCTATCAACGAGAGGAACGTCTGTTCTTCTGCAACAGGGGGAACAGCCACTTATTGGTTATTAAAAAAAGGTGCGCTCGTTCAAAACAGTTGCGTTCGATCCTTCGCTGGGCTGTGCTGATTTAAATCTAGCGGGTCTGTTTGTGTCTCATGTCTCAAGTTCAGTGACGCAGGTAGTGACGATTTTCTCTGGCCAATCAGTGATCAGCAGAGTTTACACGTCACGTTTTGGTAACGGTACGGTACGCTTGGAACCCCAACCGAGGTGGTACTAAAAAAAGTGCCAGGTACCAGGTACTGTACCCAGTGGAAAACCCCCAAAAAGTGAACCGTACCGAGCCGTACCGTGCCGTACCATGCAGTGGAAAAGCGCCATATATGTACAGAACTAAAGTACTGGGACGATTTTGCGCTAACTATTTCCCAGTACCATTTAAAGGGTTGCATTCGCGGAGGGCGTTTTCATACGCGTTTGGCCAATCAATGTCTACTTACGTCACGATTAGTACCAGTTGTGCTGGTTAGACCCTGCTCCGGAGTAGGAGCTAATTTGGTTCTCGAAAAAGGCAGTCTGGTACTAAAATCGCACCCAGTTCCGGCGGTGCGAAAACGCCAAAAAGTGGGTAGTTCCACAATTAGTTCTGGTACTATGAAAAGGTTCCTGCGGTGCGAAAGGCCCTTTTCACACAGAATCAGTTCCTATTGGCTTCCATTATATTTTTTGATCATACAATGAAAGTCAATGGGAACTGAACGTTACACACATTCTTCAAAATACTGTCAGAAGAAAGAAGCTCATACAGTCTTGGAACATCGTTAGGGTGAGTAAACGATGACAGATTTTTCATTTTGGGGGGAACTGTGATTTAAATATTGTGCAATTCCATACAAGTGTTTTCTGTAAAGCAGCTAAAGGTAAAGTTTATTACAACCAGACAATTGCTTGCTTTTGTTAGGACTATAACCAAACAAATTAAGGGTTAAAATCAACCAGTCAAACAATTTTGCATCGTGTCCCATTCCAAACTAAACACCAGCTCTTGAACAGCCTTGAAAAGATGCCATACGAACCTGTAAGGAGCGCAGGATCCGCTTCAGCCCCTCGTAGTCTTTGTCTGTGAGCGGCGTCAGGACCGTCATGGCATCCTCTGTAGACTGGCACTGCGGACACACATACTCGTCGATATGTGTAGCTTCGCTCTGTAGGATGCCCACGCAGCGCCCGTGGTACCAGTTCTGACAGCGATCGCAACCGATGTAGAACCTGAAGAAGCATATCAATCATATCAGAAACTGTGCTTCCACATGCAGCTTTTGAAATACATGTGATGAGACTGCAGATGCGTGATTACTGGGACTCGTCGTATGGAGTTCTGCAGATGCAGTAGAGCTCCTCTGTGCTTCCCTCCTGAGCTCGTTTACATTCTGAACAAATGTAGTCATCCATCTTCTTGGCCTCTTTCTCGGTGATGCCCACACACTCTCCATGATACCAGTTAGAGCAGAGGTCACAACCGATGTAGAACCTGCATCAACAGCAAACCAACATTAGATTCTTTCATCTGATGTTCTTAGACATCACGTCTTTTATGAAAAATCGTATTAATATTTTTACAGCTTCAGTAGCATGATTTACATTTATTAAGCCAAATGCTTTTATTTAGAGTGTTCAACTGTTTGAGGTTCAGAAACAAATTACACAGAAGTGTACTGTTTTACCAAAATTGTGAATTTAAAGTGACTTTTAACGGTCTTTCCACTGTGTTAAAACAAGTCTTGTGATGCCAAACTCTCTTTTTTTTCGGAAAGTTTGGATGCACAAATTAGTTTTACATTATATTTTGAGTTTTCAGCAAAAATAGTAATATTGTTTCCTTTTTTAAAATCTTAGCATATGTGTATATATTTTAATGCCAAAACACTCAGAATATTAAAATAAAATAAAATAACCAATTTAAAAAACACCTGATAAATAGGTGTATTAAAAATCTTATTGAATGTTTAGATTTTTCATGTCAAAAAATCTAAATCTCTCTCTTTATATATATATATATATGTATATATTATCTTCGTGTATGTTTATATTTTTCATGCTAAAATTTGAACTTGTGGTGTAAATACTCTACATAGTGTAATTAAAGAAAATAAATAAATAAATGATTAATATTAATATAATAAATAAATAAATAAAATAAATGATCTAACAAATCAAAACACACACACACACACACACACACACACACACACACACACACACACACACACATTCGTGTATGTTTATATTTTTCATGCTAAAATTTGAACTTGTGGTGTAAATACTCTACATAGTGTAATTAAAGAAAATAAATAAATAAATGATTAATATTAATATAATAAATAAATAAATAAAATAAATGATCTAACAAATCAAAACACACACACACACACACACACACACATTAAAAGGAAACAAATAGATATATTGTTTCCTTTTAAAATCGAATTATATATGTTTATATTTTTCAAGGCAGAAATTTGAGCTTCTGGTGTAAATATTCAAAATGATGTTATTTAAAAAAAAAAATAAAATAAATAAATTATATTAATGATAAACACACAAAAGAGAGAAAAAGAATTCCTAACAGAAACAAAAACCCATTTGACAACCCCCTAAAATCGCAGGAAAATAAAATGGTCATACTTCGACTCATCGTAAGGCGTCTTGCAGATGCAGTATAACTTGATGTCCCTCTTGCTGTCCTTTGAGGTAGTGGAGATCATCTTTTTGCGCTTGGACTTGGAGGTGTCTCTCTCCTCTTCTCGCTTGCGTTTGTGCGCGGAGGGGGACGTGACCGTGGCCGTGTACGAGGAGAGCCCGCTGTGCACGTGTGCGCTGGCGGCAGCTGCTGCAGCTTGTGCAGCCGCAGCCTGAGCTTTCTCCTTCTCCCGCCGCAGTTTAATGAGATCGCGCTTCAACTCCTCCTACAATGAAAGGAAACATGAAAGGACTCAACATACGCAATGTAGCTTCAACTGTCTATTTGGCAAGTCTGATGTGGTGTTGATAGTGTGTGTGTGTGTGTGTGTGAGTAAAGCTGAGATGTGGGCGAGAAATGAAAGCATTCGTCGCTATTGCCAGATTCCCACAGCTAATATAGTCATAAACGAGGAAAAACAGTCCTTAATTACTGTTTGTGAACACACACTATCTGTCAAAAGTTTGCGGTCAAAAGATTTAAAAAAAAAAATGTTCTCGAAAGAAGTCTCTTATGCGCACCAAGGCTGCAGTTCAAAAATCCAGTAATAACAGTAATATTCAGAAATATTATTTCAATTCAAAATAACTTTTTTCTATTTGAATATATTTTAAAATATAATTTATTGCTGTGATGCAACGCTGAATTTTCAGCATCATTACGCCAGTCTTCAGTGTCACACGATCCTTCAGAAATCATTCTAATATGCTGATTTCCTGCTCAATAAACATTTAATATTATGGACTGCATTTATTATTTATTAAATGAGTTTATTATTTAATTATATAATTTAATACTTAATTTATTTTGTAAAAAAAAAAAGAAAAAAACTATTTTTAACAGTAGTATACACACATCTTGAATTAAAAATCTCAGATCAGTGAAAATCAAATATATTTGATGAAGTTTGCGCACTTCCTGTTCCTCTCACCTGCACTTGCAGCTGTAGTTCTTTATCAAGCAGAGCTCTTTTCTTCAGGATATCAGCCTTGAGCTGCTCCTTGTGTTTGAAGAGCAGAGCTGACAGCTTGCTGGCGTTCTGCTTGCTGCGCTTTTGCTCCACAGACTCCTCCCGTTTCCTCTTTTTGGCCGCCTGCCTCTCGTCCTTATCGATTTTATCCAGGATGAACTTCATCACCTGGTTACAGACAATCATCCTGCCCGGACAGACGAAAGACAATGGATTGGGTTGATTAAAGCCAGTCTATTCTTAAGTGAGACTTCCATTAATACGGCTTCAGTTGCTTATGGTTTATCTGTGGTGCACACGTTACAAAGATAATGAGTCTAAATAATGCTTCATGTTAGTTGACATTTAAAATCACTGAAGTTTTAGCACAGAAAGTCACTTGGAAAGTGGGGAAAAAGGAAGATCGACAACATATATAAAGTATTTACCTCTGGTTCTCCTCTCTTTCAGCAGGAGTCATGGTTTTCTTCTGTTTCAACTGCTCTATGGCCACATTCTGCTTCTGAGCCACCTAAGCGAAAACAAGAAGTGCTTAACATGTTAACGCTCCATACAGATGGAAAGCTTCAAAACAACAGGTAACACCATCAGTCAGGATCGTAACTACTGTAATGTCACGTTTCCCTAGTAAATGCATTTATTTAGTGGGAAATCATGTAGTGCAGGACTTGAACTTTCAAATCCATTAGGTATCTCAGATACTTTAACTGCTTTGCATCACAGGGTAATTACTCATTTAAAATACTTACATTTATTTTATGAAATACACACATGTATTTAAATTGGTTTATGTACTAACATATCAACACATAAGAAATAAAGGTTGATCGAATTTGGATTTTGACAATACAATAATGTGTTTCAAGAGTTTGAAAAGTGCAAAGCACACATTTCTTTAAATCATCACATTTCGCAGTTTAATAATCACATTAGGTCATATTGCAGTTCCTGTTTTTCCATCCCCAAATTTAAGACTTCTTAATAAAGACTTTTGTTCCATTTGTTCCAACTTTTTATGACCTTAAATTGATCAAACTGAATATGAAAATTTTTTAAGGACTCACAGGAACTCATTTTTTCCCCCTGCATTTGATTAGCAGAGAAGTTATTTTAAAAAGTTACGGCATTTTCATGAAATATAACGAAGACTTTTTTCTATTAGAATAATGTGCACTGATGAATTGTAACAATAAAATCCTTATATAGACCATCTTTAACCTTGTAATCATCTGTCCACAAAAAAAGCATAAATGGCACATGATGCATTCCCGAATGTACATTAAACTCAAATTAATTGCATTTACTGTGAACCGAGCCGCTCTGAAACACTGAAAAAAACTGGATCATGAGCTGCTCGCGTGTAAGAATACAGTGTAAGCTTCACTATGAAACACAAAAACTACATACTTGTTCAATTAAAATACACACTGCAGAAAGAAACTATTAAAAAATATTCAGAATTGATATGCGTGTATGTATGTATATATATATATATATATATATATATATATATATATATATATATATATATATGTGTGTGTGTCGCGTT